GGTGGCTGCGGCCGCACGTCCCAGGCCGGGCGGAGAGCGCGGCCCCGCACCCCTTCGCGTCTCCATCCCCTCCAGGCCGTGCGTCCTGTCGCCTATCCCATTGCGTGGCTCCGGATCTCGTCTCATCCACTCAATCCCGGCCACCCCGGTGCGGGATGTCCCCCGAGGTGCTCTGCGGGGGCAGGCCCGTCGCCCTGCTGGCAGTGGGTGGGGCTTCGGGGGCCACGCCACAGCAGGTGGCCTGCACGCCGCGCTTCCCGGCGTGGGGAATTCACCTGGAAGGGACTTTCTGAGGCCACGTGGGGTGCAAGGAAGGGGGTGGCCTGGCGCCCTGAAGTAGGGTTTCCTTCCCGCTCAGAGGCTAGCAACAGGTCAGCTAACCAACCCAGCACGGACTCTCTCCCCAGAAGCCAGGCAAGCTCTCTGGTACCAGGCGCGTACGGCGGGTGTCCCTATCGTGGGACGAAAACACTGAAAGCTGAGGCTTTCGCTGCGGGATTGAGGGTGGGCCTACTGCTCCCAGAGGATCTGGGCCCGTAGTCTTGGAGGTGCCGTGGCTCCCCGAGCCTCCCAGCCTAGCGGTGGAGTCTAGTCGACTGTGTCCCGGGTTGTAGCCTGTCAGTCAGGATGGCAGTGCCAGGAGTCTTGACCCAAGACTGTGCGCCCGGTCCCGGAGTTCCGGCTTCATCTCCAGCTGGAGGCGGGGCTTGTGACTTAGGCTCTACAGCCCTATAGAGAGCGTTCTGGGAGAATCGGATTGCTCTGGCCCCAGGAGTCTGGAGACAGCCTGGTGCCCACAGTCAGCTCCGGCTGCCGGGTTGAGGTGGGCTCTTAGCAGTGGCCTTGAGATGCTGGAAGGGGGCTAAATGACTAGGGCGATTCCAAAGGGGCTGTTTCCCAAACTGGACAGTTTCCGCTGGTCAGTTTCCCACCTCAACCCTGGCTCCTGCGAGGGGTCTGAGTCTGGCTCACAGATCTTTGGATCTGACCACCCCAAGAACCTTGCTCTGAGGGGAACAAGGGTGGGGCTGGATTCTAGGCTGTGGTTCTCTGGAGGGGAGCAGCCAGCATGCCAAAGGAGCTGGAAGGCCTTGGGAAGGCTGGCCGGCTGGAGAGTCACTTGCACTAGGGGAGTCTTGGAGGGGACCGAGCTCTGCTGTTGAAGGATGATCTGGAAGATGTTGGTTAATGCTATAGAGTTGATTTGGGACAAGGTCTTGGGGTGAGGGTTGGATGGAACTCTTGTTTTATGCCACCTCGTTTAAAGCTCATTCAGACGGTTTGTAATCTCAGTACTGAGGGGGTTGAGGCAGGAGGATTGTCATAGGCTTCAGGCCAGCTCAAGCCAGAGTGAGATCCTGTCTTTTTTGTGTGTGTTTGCATGTGTGGATGAAGGTGTACCATGTGTGTGCTTGGTATCCACGGAGGTCAGAAAACGGTCATCTCTTCACCTGGAACTGGAGTTACAGGCAGTTATGAGTCACAGTTTGGATGCTGGGAATCAAACCCAGGTCCTCTGCAAGAGCAGTTAGTGCTCTTGACTGATGAGCTGGCCCTCCGGTCTGAGACTCTATCTTAAAAAAGCCAAAAAGGAGCAGGCATGGTGGCTCATGCCGTTAATCACCGCCTGGTCCGAAGGCAGAAGCAGGTTCTGAGTTCCAGAACAGCCAAGGCCACATAGTGAGACCCTCTCTCAAAACAAACAAAAGCCGGGCCAAGGTCACACAGGTCTTAATCCTAGCACTTGGGAGGGAGAGGCAGGTGGATCTCTGTGAGTTTGAAGCCAGTCTGATCTACATAGTGAGTTCCAGGACAGCCAGGGCTGTTACACAGAGAAACCCTATCTCAAAAAACAAAACAAATAAACACAGAAAAACACCCCCCCCCAACCACCACCAGCAACATGTGGTACACATGCCTTGCACGTATGAGGCCCTAGGTTTGAATTGACAGCAATGAGGATGGGATAGGGTTGGGGGAACCCCAAACAAGCATGGTAGTGCATGACTGTAATCCCAGCATTTGTGAGGTGGAGGCCGGAGGACGAGGAGTCAAGATCTTCCTGGGTTACAAAGTCCAGCCTGGACTAAATGTGACCCCCCCAATGTCAGACAAACAAACCAAAAGCAAAAACTCAACCCAACCCAAACAAACAAACAAACAAACAAAAACATCTGGGTTTTGGTGGCACACACCTTCAATCCCAGCGCTGGAGGCAGAGACAGGCGGGTCTCAGTCTTTGAGGGGTGGAGGGTAATTCTTTCCCACAATAGCCCAGTCTACCCTCCGGCCCCTGATGGGGAGGACCTGTGGACACCCTGACCACAGCCTGCCCATCTCCTCACTCCCAGGAGTTCAGAGGGGTTGAAACACCAGTCTCCAAATGGGCATCAGTAGAGAGACAAGAGCTAGTTGCTGCCCTACTAGGATCCTCATCCTGTGCAGGATGTGCCCACAGGTGCCTGCGCCCACCCACCAGCGCTCCTCTCCCCTCTTCAGGTCCTGGCCTTGATCGTGTTCTCCTGCATCTTTGGCGAGGGCTACAGCAACACTCACGATTCTCGGCAGTTATACTGTGTGTTCAACAAGAACGAGGATGCCTGCCGCTACGGCAGTGCTATCGGGGTACTGGCCTTCCTGGCATCAGCCTTCTTCCTCGTGGTCGACGCCCTTTTCTCCCAGATAAGCAATGCTACTGATCGCAAGTACCTGGTCATTGGTGACCTGCTCTTCTCAGGTATGCCTGTGGCACTGGTACTCCAAGGCTTCACAATGAGGGACCTTGGTGCTGTTGGGAGGGGTTGCCGATAACAGCTCAGGATCATGGACGTCACTTATGGCTTCTCCTGACTCCCTGTACCCTGGGATGGCACACAAGGCATTCAGACTTCAGAGACTCAAGAGTGTTGGCATGAGGGTGAGGATGGCATCAGGTTTCTGGACTCATCCATCCCGCCTACCACTCACCCCTAAGCCCTCACTTGCCTCTGCTTCTGTAGGTTACACAGCACAAAGCCTTGGGAGGGTCTTTCCTTGAGTCCCTTCTGGGCCCCGGGGACAGACGGGATTCCCTGGGGCCCAGGAGACATGTTCTGGGGCCCACTCTTCCCTCATTGTCTCCCCAGCTCTCTGGACTTTCCTGTGGTTTGTTGGTTTCTGCTTCCTAACAAACCAATGGGCAGCCACCAATTCTGAAGATGTGCGGGTGCAAGCGGACTCGGCACGGGCAGCCATCACCTTCAGCTTCTTCTCCATCTTTTCCTGGGTAGGTGGGCTGGGGAGGGCAGCTTCAGAAGTCCGGTGAAGAGCCAGGTCCCCTTGCCCTGCCCACACATTGCGTCTTCCCCTGCAGGGTGTGCTGGCCTCTCTGGCCTACCAACGCTACAAGGCTGGAGTGGATGCCTTCATTCAGAACTACGTGGACCCCACCCCAGACCCCAACACAGCCTACTCCTCTTACCCCAGTGCCTCCGTGGAAAACTACCAGCAGCCACCCTTCACCCAGAACGTGGAGACCACTGAGGGCTACCAGCCTCCCCCTGTGTACTGAGCAGCCAGGGGCAAAGAGGCAGGGAGGTGCTTGGGGCCGCCCCTCTCCCCTGGACTTCTTTCTCGAGGTTTGCTGCCAGAACTGCAGTCCCTGGCCAGTTCCAATTGACAGCCAAAGAACCCAAGCTGTTCTGTATTCCAGCTGCAGCCAGAGCACGCCTGAAGTGCCTGTGCCCGAAGGGGCGTCACCGCCACCCGCCCAGTCCTACAGGGCATTTTTTAGAAAAGGGTTTTTCACTAGATCTCTCCGCCAACCCCCAGGACTGGGGATGGCGCCCAGGGCCTTGAATTTGCTTACCCAGTGCCACTATTGAGCTGTGCGCCCAGCTTTTGTTGCTTTTGATAACCCTGAACCCCACCTCAGCCAGAAGCAGGTGCCCGCTCTACGCTGTTTTTGGCGTATGCCAGTTTCCCCTCAGCTGGAAGGCTGAGCTCAGCTTGCAGCCACAGGAGCCCAACTATCTTTTTTTTTCCTCCGAAGACAAGGTTGGGGGTCCATGCACCAATCTCCTTGGAGTACTGGCCCTAGGTTCGCCACTTCCTCACTCAGGTTCACTACCCAGCTTCCACTGGGCTTTATGCTCACCGCTGCCTTCTGGGGTCACCACTGGGCCAGCTGTCCCCAGGCTGCTTGCCTGACAGCAGAGGAGCAGGCTGGGGACTGGATGTCACTTCCTTCTTGCTCCCGCCCCTGGCAGGAGGGAGGAGCTTTGTCTGGAGATAACACCCAGCTTTATGTAAATATCCCCCAGCAGTAGTTAGATACCAGGAGGAGGGCAGGAACCCCTGCACTGAATGTATCGAGACTTGGTGGGGACGGCCCTGCCCTCAGGTTCTGTAGACTAGCCCAGGACGTGAAATAAATGGTTTTTTTTCTCAGTATGCTGTCCTTGATGGCATCAAAGGCTAGGGGTAGAAATACACTTTGATTGGTATTGTTTTGAGAAAAGGCCTCAGATTTATGTAGCCAAAGAAGAAGCTCTGACTTTCCCCCCAGTGCTTGGTTTCAAACCCTGGACTTCATGCTATGCAACTGGGGTTCACCCCAGCTTTTCATAGTATCTGCATAGCCCGGGCTGGCCTCAAAATTTACCCGACTCTGAAGCACCGGCCTGTGCTGCCATACTTGGCTAGACCAGGGTCTCACTGTGTAGCCCTGGCTGTCCCAGAACTCAGATCCACCTGGCTCTGCCTCCTGAGTCTTGGGAATAAGCTGTAAACCATGTACCCTGAGCATGGGGTGACAGCTTCTCCTGATGGGGTCTCATTCTCCACACTGGCCTTCTACTGCACCCTAAAATAGCCAGTGTCAGCGTATAGATGGGTTCTTCTAGATAGCTTGTCTGGGTTCTGTCGCCCCCCATGCCCTGGAGGGGTGCACAGGGAGGGGCTCCTCTGAATGCCCCCTTCAGAGCAGATGTTTCCCATCAGAAGTGGAGAGCACAGAGCAGACCCATCTCTATCAGGAAGCAGTGTGCCCCTGAGGTATCTCTTGGCTTTTTTGTGCAATGATGAGGCCATCATCATTCTGATGGTGGGTTTGGATGGTGTCTTTCAAAATCCGAAGTATAAACTAACAGGGCTCTGAGCCTTCCCTCTAGAGCGTGGCCTGAAGCCCAGGTCTTTACCCTTCCAGGGAGTTACCATAGCCCCTTTACAAAACCTGACCCCCCCACTCCCCCACCCCCCGCCACCCAGGGCCAGCTGCAAACTCCATCCCCTGGGCTCTCCTGGTTCCCTTTCCATATCTGTACTGAAACTAACCAGCCAGAAGAAATCCCTGCCCCCAAGTCATACGGGCTCTGACTGCAGGATTCGGGGAAACCCAGGTTAAAGAGAAATAAGCTCTCAAGTAGCAGACTTTAATATTAATTATTTATTTTATACTGTAGCATAACTAAGAGCCCTGAGTCATGGGGCTGGGGCTCTGAGCAGGGCAAGACCAGCTCCACTGTAGACTGTCCCTGGGGGCCATTGTGGGAGTGTAGGTCAGGCGTTAGCACAAAGGGAGGGCTTGAGCCTTGGTAATGGGCGGGGCTCCACAAAACTGAAACCCAGCAGTGAAAGCCGCCAAGGAGGAAGAAGCCAGCACCACCAATGTCACAACAACCATGTGGCTCTGTCCTCACCTCAAGCCCTAATGACCAGGCAGGCGCTGGCTCTCCACTGGGCTGAAGCATTTCAGCAACCCAGAAGGGAACTCAAAAGGCTGTGACCAGCAGCTGAGCCTGTCCCTGGCAGCGTCTGTTATGAGGCAATTCCAGCCCCAGGTCGCTCAGTTGGCAGAGTTGTGCTGTAGGACTTGGTGAGGGGCAAAGAGCTTCCTGACAGCTGAGGCCTCTGCAGGCTGTCCCAGCACCGGGAGGTTCTCTTTGTTGTCCGGTCCAGACGGCTTCACCGGGGACTTCTTAAAGTAGCACAGGCGGCACACGGAGTGGTACTTGTCTGCTCCGCCTATCACCTCCACCTGGGACAGGGCCGGGAAGGGATGCGTGAGGGTGGGACTGAGCCCTAGCCCGCCCTCGGTCCACGGACAGAAGTGTGAGGATACCTCCTTCTCCATGCCCAGCCTCTTGGTGTAGGCAGCTTCTCGAAAGCACTCCATACACACGGCAGTCAGCTTCACCACGCTCTCGGCCAGGGGCACCAGGTTCAAGATGTTTCCGAAAGCCTACATGCAGGACAGCAGGCGCATTTGGTCATTTGGCCAAGCAGGTCCCTTTTCTGCCTGCGTTCACGTGTGCACGCATGCAGGGGCCAGAGAGCAGCCTCAGGGGCTGTTCCTCCAACACTGCCCACCTTGGTTGCTTTTGTTGTTTGGAAACTGTTTCTAGCTGGCTTGGAGCTTGCCAGTGAGCTGAGATCTGCCTGCCTCTGCCTCCCAGTGGTAGGGTAATAAATGCACACCACCTTGCCTGGCATTTTTAAAAAGAGGGTTCTGAGGATCAAACGCAGGCCTGCATGCTTTGCAAGGCAAGCATGTCACAGTCTGAGCTTTTGCCAGCCCCAACACTTTCCCCTTAAACCCTGTGATTCAGGATACATCATCTGGATCCTGTTTTTCTAGAAAGCCACACCCTCATGCTCTCAACCCCTTGGCCCACTCAGAGTACCTACCAGGCAACAGCTTCTATTCTGAACATACCTACTTCTGGGGACATCTTGTGGATTGTCCCATGCTCCAGATCCCCACCTCCCTCCAGGACCCACTGCCAGGCCTGGATCAGACAACTTACCTTTCTCTGGAAGGTTCCATCAAGTGCTGCCACAATCACTGTCTTGCCTGCATTGGCCATCCATTCACAGAATTCCACGATGTCAGGGAACTGGAAAAGTTGGAGGAAGTGAGGCAGCTACCCTGCACAGGGGCTTCATGGACTCCCCGATGGGCCCTATCAGGCAGACCAGCCCAGAGCTGGAGACCAGGCCACGCCACTATTGCCGTGAAATGCCCACTTGCATGTCCACTGCTACCCAGTCCCTTTGTATGGCTCAGCACCATGCTACCCAAGGCTTGCCAGCGGACTTCGGCACCCAAAAGAGGCCTCTATAAACGGAGAGGCCACAGCTTCCCTCACAGTCCTCTGAAGGAACTGGCCGGACGGCACTTTTGATCAGTCATGGGTTCCTGCCTTCTCAAACTGTCAGTCAACAAAGCCTTGTGCCTAAAGCCCATTCTGACTTATATTTAAAACAGACTTCCAGGGAGGGCAGAGAGACAACGGGAAGCAAGAGGCATGCGTGCAGTTTGCCCAGCTCGCTCCTGACACAGCTGTAGGTGGCCCTCGTCCTGTTCCCAACACCTGATCTTGCTGTCTCCTGTTCAAGCTACGTAGACCAGGTTAGCCTTGAACTCAGAGATCTACTTGCCTCTGCCTCTCAAGATTAAAGGCATATGCTACCACGTCTGGCTTTTCTAACTTGTGTTTGAGACAGGGTCTCTCACTGAATCGAGAGCTCAATGATTCAGCTAGGCTGGCCGGACAGCACCTGCCTGCCTCTGCCTCCCTAATACTAGAATTATGGACACTTGGCCATAACCAGTGTTTTACAGGGGGCTAGGGACCTGTACCTTATCAACCAAATTCTCTCCCCATTCTTTTTTTTTTGATTGGTTGTTACTGTGTAGCTCAGGCTAGTCTCAGCCTTCTAAGTGCTGAGTTAATAGGTGCTGTCATGGTGCCTGGTTCTTCAGATCCTGACTTTGAACACACACACACAAACACACACACACACACACACCCTCCTCCCCACGTCTTCCTCCTCCTTAGTCCCTCCCAGTTGTAGCCCAACAACACAGGCGAGCTGGAAGTTCCAGTTTTGTCTCCAGAGCCTAGAATGCCACAGCTGAAGGGCAGGAACTTGGAATGGATGTGATTGGTCCCCGGACCTAGCTATTCCCACAATAGTCACAGCATGTGACACCGGCTGCTCTATAAAAACATGTTTATAATTAGAAGCATCCAGGCCGGGCTGGCACTCACACTGGCTGAATATAATCTCCTGGGCCAACATCAGGCAAGGTACCCTAGCCACCATGGGTAAAGACCCCTCCCCAGTCACATCTGAGCATCAGCAAAACATAGCTCAGTCTCTGCCAAAGGGAACCAGTCAGGAGGCACCAACCTCCTTCCAGGCCCCTCCCACCACTAAGGGTGCAGGTTCCTGAAGCTTCCTGGTCCTCCTGGTCCACAGCACAGCCAGGCTCCAGCCCTTTTGCCAAAGGACCCAAGGGAGCCCTGTCCCCCTCTCTAGAGTCCCACTGTTCCATGACTACTGTTTGCCCTGCGGCAGGTTTCAGAACGATGGCGAGCTTCCAGGGCATCCCTGGTGGTCTCTGGTTCAAAGATGCTGTTGTGGCAAACTTCCCTTTCCCAGTGTGTGCCCGTAGTGTGCTAGGTTGAGCCTGTCGTTACTTGTATCAAACAGAAACGAAACACAAAGTTCTTAAGGACGCATAGCTTCTACTCTTGCCAAGAAGCCTGTGGGACTTGGCCCTGGCGAATGAACACATGGGAGGTTCCATATTCTCAGCCGTGACTTCAACGGCCTTAGACAACCCTCGACCCACTGTCCAAGGCAAGGACACAGAAGGAATGGGGAGATCCTGAATTCTGTAACGAGCAGGGCCCTGGCAGCTGGGGGTAGACTGGAAGAGCTGTGGTATTTATATAGAGAGCACAATGAACACTCACTGAGGCCAGCATGAGGTCCAGGGCTCTAATCCCAGCACTCAGGAGGCTGAGTCTAATCCAGCCTGGACCACAAGGCCCCATCTCCAAATTCAAAGCATTAGGCTGAAGAGATGGCTCAGTGGTTAAGAGTACTGGCTGTTCTTCCTGAGGTTCCAAGTTCAAATCCCTCCAACCACATGGTGACTTAGAAACCATCTATAAAGGGTTTTGATGCCCTCTTCTGGCATGTAGGCGTATATACAGATAGAGCTCTCATGCATAAAATACATATATAAATAAATAAATCTTAAAAAAAAAGCGAAGTATCCACTACATTATAGGTTAGGAAGGGAATAGACTGGGGTAACTGGTACGCTGGTGCCAGACTTGGGCCTCTGGGAACACCAGGAGAGCGGAGCTAATTGCAGGTTACTGCAGCAGGCCTGAGGGGAGGGGCCGTACCCTGTCCTGACTCTAAGTCAATGTCTGCAAGGCCGTGCTTCAGGGTTTCCCTCTGAGGACAATTACAGATCTGGCATGTCCAGGTCGATGGGACGTGCATCTCACGGTGAGAATGAACTCAGAGCTGACATAGAGCATGGTGAGGCAAGGCTGGTACAGCGTAGCATTGCAGCCAGAGCTGCCTCACTCTGAGGTGGAGAGCAGGGGTGTACAGGGAGCAGACTGGGACCCCCCCCCCCCAAATCAGCCCGGCTACTTCCACAGTAGAATGTGAAAGCAGTGGGCAGTCAGAGAGCCACAGCAAATTCTAGCCTGCAGAACATCCATTCAGCTTTGTGAGCAAGCCATCAGGAGCCACAGGACAGGGAGAAATTATTTTCTACTGAGTAGTTTATTATGTCACCTGGTTGCACGCTAGGGATATATATTCCATGTTTATTTGACAACTATTTGAAAAATGTTGTTATGTGTGTCTATGTGAGGGTGCGTGCGTGTGTGCAGGTGCCCACATAGGTCAGGAGTCTCAAATCCTCTGGGCTAGAGTTATAAGCAGACAGCTGCCCAGTGTGCATGCTGGGAACCAAACTTAGGTTACCTGCAAAGCCAGCAAGTGATCTCAATGACTGAGCCTTCTCTCCGGCCCATTTATCTGTCTACACATGATGCGGGGGGTGTCCTCTCTCACGTGTGGAAGTCACATGTGTGGAAGTCACAGGACAACTCTGTGGAGGTGGTTCTCTGCTGTTACCCTTCCGTGGATTCCAGGGATCAAACTCATGTCTTCAAGCTTATGCAGCAAGCTCTGCACCCACTGAGCCATCTCACTGGCCCTGTAGCTGAGGCTGGCCTTGCACTCCTGATCCTCTTCCTGCCTTAGTCTCCCAACACAGGAGACTCTACAGCAGCCCTTACCCACCAACGAATATTTCTGAAACCATCGAGAATGTTAAGTTTTGGAGTCGGGTGCACATTTAATAAGCCTCTGTCCTTGCTCTCCTGCGTGGACAAGAGATAACCTTCAAACTTGTAAAGGAGGGGCTGGAGAGATGGCTCAGAGGTTAAGAGCATTGCCTGCTCTTCCAAAGGTCCTGAGTTCAATTCCCAGCAACCACATGGTGGCTCACAACCATCTGTAATGGGGTCTTCTGGCCTGCAGGCGTACATAGAGACAGAATGTTGTATACATAATAAATAAATAAATAAATAAATAAATAAATATTAAAAAAAAAAAAAAACTTGTAAAGGCGTGTAGCCAGACCCTTTTGGTTCAGGCCCCCATGTAGCCCAAGTTGACCTCAAACTGGTTATATAGCCAAGGATACTGTGAACTGATCCCCACGCCTGTCTCTGGTGCTAGAATTATAGGCTTGTTAGCAAGCCCTGTCATGCGGTGGGATGATTGGGGACGGAAACCAGGGCCTTATGCACGCTGGAACATCCTCAGCCCCGCTTGGGAGTTCAGAAAGGGACTTCTAGTCCAAACTTTCAAAGCCTGGGAGGAAAATTAAGACCACAAAAGACAACTCCCACCCCAGTCAGAGGATACCCTAGAAAAAAACAAACAGGGATGCAGTTGGCCAGAAAGGACTAGAGCAAGATTTTTCAGAAAAATAAAAACCACACAGACAAACCCCCAAACCCAGTCAAGGCCAGTGTTAATGGACTGGAGGCCCAGCCACTGCAGAGGTCAAGGCCAGAGTGGAGCTCTCCCACGGAGCTCTATCCCAAGCCTTTTTGGGAGAAGATATTCTATATGGCACATGGTCAAGGGAATTCACACAACAGTAAAGACATGTTAGACTCCTGACTTTCCCAAAGAGGAAAGAGAAACTTCAGAATCAGGGACAGGAGGAGTCGGGGGTGTGGGTATGGGTTACGCTTCAAGCTCACTTACAAACTGCCCTTCGTCGATGCCGATGACAGCCACACCCAGGGCCTCCTGGGCCACATCCCGGAGCAGGCAGGCCGGCAGTGCGTCCATGGTGTTCCTGGGAAGAAAACGGCCAGAGGATGAGCAAGGCCAGCAGCTTAGCATCCCTAGGCCCCAGATACAGGGGAGAGGGTGCTACTGTGGTCTGGCAGAGCAGCCTGTGGTGCTGCATCAGTTCCCGCGGGGGAGGGGCGGGGAACCTCTTAACACAGGCTACCTCCCTTAACTGGAAAATCAAGCTCAACAAAGACTCCAAAGTTATCTTTGGAGATACAGGTGGGATTTCAACGCTTATCTTTTTTAAAAAAAGAAACAAATTTCTCCTTTGGTTAGAATGGGGAACAGGATGCGAAGGCAAACTGGTCATTAGGAGCCTGACCTAGGTTGCAGGGTGACCCACCAAGAATGAGAAGAGGCCATGCAAGGCCATGCCCAAGGAGTCCGGCTGGGCCTCTGCCAATAGGAGGGCACTAAGCAAGCCAGTGCCACGAGATTCGAACCCGTGGCCTAAAATGTGTTCGGTAATGCATCCATCCCTGCAACTTAAGCAGTCAGGAGCTCAGGAGGCTTGGGCAAGTGAGTTCCTAATCACCCTGTTTCAAAAACAACAACAGCAACAAAAAACCCTGAACCCAAAACAAAACCTCAAAAACTAACCCTCCAGGAGTCAGGCATGTGTGCCGCAGAAGCCCTCCACTACAGAGCCACGACTCCAGCTAAGGTCTTTAGGAGGGACAGCCCCCAGGGTCCACAATACACTGAGCAGCAAGAACTGGTTTTATTTCTTTTAAAATTCAAAACAAACCAGGACAGCACTGACCTATATCATTGACACGGTAAAATATCATTTAAAATTTATGGAGATTCTGGACTACAGCCCAGTGGTAGGGCACCTGGCAGCTCACGCCCAGGGTTCTGTTGTCAGTGCCTAAAGGTATTTGAGATATTTGGACATTCTGTAGACCAGGCTGCCCTCGAACACAGAGAGATCGGCCTACCTCTGTCCACCAAGGGCTGCGATTAAAGGTGTGCACCACACCTGGCAAAAGTTTAAGATTTTAGCTATGTGTGTGAGTGTTTTTCCTGCATTTATGACTGTGTATTAGGGGCATATCCGGTGAAGAGGATGTAGGTTCCCCTGGAACTGGAGCCACCATGCAGGTGCCGGGAACTGAACCGGGGTCCTTGGCAAGAGCAAGTGCCCTTAACCACTGAGATATCTCTCTGGTCCCACAGGAGAGCCCAGCACGCAGGAAAGCTGTAACAGGTTTGTGTGTTAGCCTACGAGCAGCAACTAGACAAGTGTCCTGTTCTCAGTGTCTGGAACGGTAGGCGAGCTTGGAAGCCAGACAGCGGCCCTCTGGACCCCTCCACATCATGTGACCACCTGCTGACAGAGCTGACAGGCCTTGCGGCAGACTGCTTCCCGTCAAGGAAGAACCCACCCAGGCCTCAGAGAGCCAGTTTGGATGTGCTCCAGAAAGCCTTTAAAGGACACTGGGAACCCACCCTCTGTCCAGCAGCTTTCTAAGGAGTGGAATGCTGGGCTGTGTCCAATGTCTGCCCTCTTCCCCGTGGCTACCCCACTTTCAAAACAAATGCAGAAAAAGCTGTTTCCCCAAACACAGACAAGCACTGTGCAGTGGCAGGCGTACGGATTCAAATACCTTCTGGCCTCAGTTACAACCTCACAATCTTCAAGATCTGGGAAACTGGGTGTGGCAGAATTTGTCTACAATCCTAGTATTAAGGAGGAGGGTTGGATGTGGTATTGCTCCCCTGTAATTCCAGGAAGAGGAGGAAGGGTCCCAAGTTACCAGGCCCACCTAGGCTGCATAACGAGACAATGTCTCAATAAACAGATGGGAGAGACCGCTCAGTAGTTAAGAGTATTTGTTTTCCTTGCAGAGGACCTAGGCTCAATCCCTGGCACCCACATGGCAACTCACAATCATCTATAACTCCTATTCCAAGGAATCTGAAGCCCTCTTCTGACCTCCTTCGGGCATCAGGCAAGCAAGTGGAATGCAGACCTAAGAGCCAGCAAAACTCGCATACACAAACAAGATAAAAGGTTTTAAAACTAGCAGGGCAGGGATGGCCCACGCCTTTAATTCCACACTCAGGAGGCAGAGGCAGGCGGGATTTCTGTGAATTTGAGGCCCGGCTGGTCTACATAGTGAATTCCAGGACAGCCAGAGCTACACAGAAAAACCTGTTTAAAAAAAAACCAAAGAGCATTTTTAAAAGCAAACAAATCAAAAACAGGGTTGAGATGTCTCAAGGGTAAAGGGCTTGCTATAAAAGCATGAACGCCAGGCATTTTGGCGCATGTGTATTGGCACATGCATGTTGGCGCCGGGCATGTTGGCACATGTGTGTTGGCATACGCATGTTGGTGCCACCTTTAATCCCAGCATTAGGGAAGCGAAGGCAGGCAGATCTGAGTTCTAGGACAGCCAGGGCTCTGTAGAGAAAACCAAAACTCAAACAAAGCCCGACCAATCGAGCTTGAAACTCACAAAGCTGAGTGAAAGAAGGTGGAAGGTGAAGACCTGTCCCGAGGCTGTCCTGCGCACTCTGCACAGGCTTCCCTCCTCCCCCCGTAGAGCAGACCAGAGGACGGGAAATGAGAAAAGAACTGCCTGGGTCCCCCATCTCCCGTGCTTTCTGGGATACTCATCCTATCCTGTGTGGTAGACATCGTCGTCACACACACGAGGAAGTAAAGATCACAGCATAGAGCCCGGTGGGAAGCATGGCTTGAATTCCAGCCCCAGTTCCAAGTCCTGGACATTTCACTTCCTGTTCCGCTTCAGAAACCTGCCCTACAAGAGGCTGCTCAACCTCGGCCCAGCCTACAGCAACCCTGGCCTGCAGCTCCAGCCTCGTGGTCAGCGTTGGCTCTGGGGTGAGCCCAGGACACTCAGCAAAGAGTGTCTCAGGGCACCAATCCCCAGAATCGCCACCACTTTACTCAGCTCCCACCCACCCCTGGGCTGCAAAGGGTAGTGTCCAGTGCTCTAGCATACAGTTCATAACAGTGACCCGACACCCGATGGCAGGGAACCAACTAGAGAAAAAATTCTGTGCAGTCAATCATGAGGGCTGCAGGGGGCAGCGTCTACCCAAGTGGGAAGGAACCAGGTTCTCCCGGCACAATGTTCATTTGGGCAATGGTCATTCTCAATTTGGAGCCCTCGTCCCTGTCTGTTAGAGGCCTGTAGCAGCCCATCCCTCCTCAGGTTCTGGCAAAGCCTCCCCCACCCCCGCCCTGATATATCTGACAGAATGTCCCATGCCTTAGAGATTTCCGCAGCACGGGATCACGGGGGTGGGACTGACCGGTCATGCGTACAGAAGCTGTTGCTGTAGCGTGTGTCTTTGGCATACTTGATGACCAGGCATTTATTCTGGGCGATCTGGAAGCGCCGGACGCGTCTCATCAGCTCCGTGCTGCAAGCGGTACCAGGGCAGGTGAGGCCCGGGCGAAAGGCGGCTCGCTGCCACCACCTAGTGAGGTCATCCCGACACTGACTCTTACCCGCTAGCCCAGACTTAGCCCCAGCTGTTCTGAACAAACTTAATAGTTTTATGAATGAACTTCACAGAGCTTTTTCAAAGAAACGCCAAAGCGCTTGACTCTGGGCCTCCCCCTCCGAGCAAGGGACAAAACTCAGGTGACACCAGGTCATTCAAGAACAGTGGGGGTGCCTGGTATGGTGGGCACCCTTTTAATCCCATTACCCGGGAGGCTGAGGCAGGGGGATCTCCGAGTTCGAGGGCCAGCCTGGTTTATAGCGTGAGCCCCAGGTCAGTCAGGGCCACATAGAAAAACGCTGAGTCAAAAACAAAAAATGCCCCCCCAAAAAAACTAAAACCAAGAAACCGTGAGCAGTGGCGGACTTACTCCAGGTGGGACTCCCAGAGGAAGGACCCTTGCCTCAGAGCAAATTGGGCTCCGTGGCTTCAGCAGAGCTCGCAGGGGAGGGGATGCGTGAGGAAACTGGCTGGAAGGGGGCCCAGGCTCCTCCCAGCCACCGCTGCGGTCACACGGGATGCCCACTGGGATTCTGGGGATGTGGGCTGGGGGGTCTTTGTGGTACCCCGATGTGATTCGCCTCAGCAAGGACAGAAGAGTTCCCCCGGAGAAGGGGCTGTGGCTTGGGCGGGAAGGAGGCAGGCTTCCAGAAATTTGGGCGGGAAGGCGAGCACAGAGGTCGGGCGGCGGAGTTTGCGGCCAAGTCAGGTCCGAAGGAGGGGAAGGCGAGAGAGAAGAGCCAGGGTCTGCAGACAAGGGGAGGCCCACCCGCCCCAGAGGCCCATGCAGTACCTTTTTCCTGAGAACATGGGCCCGAGGATCACCTAGGAGAGAAGTCATCTTAGGGGGTCCCTGCTCGCGTACACCCGGGCCAGCCACAAGCCACCATCCCGACCCCCACAGACCGAACCGGACCCCGCACCTGGATCTGCCCCCGGGTCTTGCTGGGGGAGACGGGCAGCACGGTGGGCAGATTGATATAATTCATGGCGGCTGTGCAAGCAACCCTTAGCTTCTCCGGTCCGAGAATGCAAAACGTCCACCAGTTCGCGCCTTTTTTTTTTTTTTTTTCCTTTAAATGAGTCGACCAATCGCAGCCGATAGGAGCAAGGCGAAGCCAAAACGCATGTAGCCCGCCCCCTCTCTTTTAGTCCTAAGCGAGGAGCTTGGAGCGTGCACCCGGCTATGGCAGCTGCTGTACTTTCCGCGGGCGAGGCGACCTGGAAGACCCTGTCTGCAGAGGTAGGTGATGAACAGTCGCCCAGAACCCGGACTGGTGCCCACCTGTCAGATTTGCAAGACTTGAGCGCCAGATTTCTTCATTTTCTCCTATCAGGGCAGGTTTAGCCTGTTAACCTGGTTTAGAAGACAAGATAGCGAAAACTAAATTCAGTCCTGCAGAACTAAGGGGCTGAGAGCTTGAACCTTATTCTGAGGTTGTGCAATATGGGTCTATGCCTATGTAATCAGTGTGGAAGATGTCAGAGATTGGGGGTCCCTACTGTGAGTCGCTAGCAAGGCAGACATCTTCAGGGACAGACCATATTAAGCGTCTTCAGAATATTCCTTCTATTTCAGCTAAAAATCTTTATGGCTCACACTTAGCATGCCTAGAAGGGTTCTTTGCACTATGTGTTTGTGTTTGGTTACTCTGGATTATTGCAAGAGTTACCAATTGCATATACAAAACATGACGGCACATTTTGGCATTTGCTAATTCCTATTCCGTTATGATTTCTTGGTTGGTTAGCTTGTATTATTTAAACAAAATTTTTTGTTTAGGTCACAGTCGTCTCAGAATCTGTTGAAAGTTAGGGACACTGTGTTTGTTGCCCTTCTCACAACTATCTGTCAGCCCCGTGGTGCCCACACCTTTGATCCCAGGCAGAGGCAAATGAATCTCTACGTTTGAGGCCAACCTGGTCTACAAGGCAAGTTCCAGGACAACCAGGACTACACAGAGAAATCCTGTCTTGAAAAAACAAAACAGGGCAGTGGTGGTGCACACTTTTAATCCCAGCACTGGGGAGGCAGAGAGGCAGGCGGATCTCAGTGAATTCAAGGACAGCCTGGGCAGCCTGTTCCTGGGGCACATAGATAAACCCTGTCTCAAAAACAAACAAACAAAAAGAAAACAAACCGATAAATACTATTAGTCATAAATACTAGTAGTAAAAACAAGAGCAAGGGGCTAGAGAGATACTCAGTATGCCCTGCTCTTGCTGAGGACCTGAATCAGACTCCCAGCACCCACATCAGACGACTCACAACTTCCAGCTCCAGGAGGATGCTCTGAGGCACCCGCAGTCATGTACACATACTACACACACACACACACACACTCACACTCACACTCACACACGTACACACATATATACACCCACAAACACACTGATTTAAAAATTAAGAAAAAAAGATTTTGGCATGTGGGTATCATCTCACACTTGGGAGGTCCAGTCAGAAGATAGGAAGGAGTTCAAGGCCAGCTTTGGCTACATATAAAGATGATAACAGTTGTGGGGTGCCAAGTGGAGCCCTAACATCCAACGGGTATCGACCTGAATGAGAGGGTTTACAGCTCAGAAGACCTCTGACCATGAGTGACACTCACTAGGAGGAGGCCACTGTATTTGAGTGGTCGATGTTATTTCCCTTATACTATACCTTCTGCCTCTTAGCCCTGTAATTGGGGGTGCTGATCTCCATTATACCAATGAGGATACCGGGGCTAGAGACAGCCAGTAAACAATGGAAGCTGACGAGCCCTTGTGTGCTGGCACACTGTCTTCTGGACAGAGCCCCATGGTGTTGGCTCATGGTGCTGCGCTCTGCCACTGATCCACATTCCTTCTTTCTACTTCATTAATTTATAGGCAAGGTCCTGGCTACCCAGGAACTTACTAGTTGTAGGCTGTCCTCAAAATTGCATTGCTCCTCCTGCCTCTGCCTCCACAGAGATGGGATTTCAGGTGAGCATCCCCATGCCCCAGCTGCCTAGCCCCCCACCGTGGTCCCCCAGCTGCCTAGCCTCCCCCACACCCCATGTTTTAGCCATCTGGCTGGTTAGTTATTTGCAAACTGACCTTTGGTTTCTTCTCTCCCACTCACCTCTGTCCCTGTGACCCTGTGTCTACCTGTGATCAGAACACTGTACTCCCAGGAAAATGGAGTTGCGCCACTTGACCCCAGAACCAATGGCCACAGAGCTGCTTGGCCTCCTGTGGCCTCAGTTTCTGCAGGAATGTGCTGCTCCCCAGTGTCATTAACTGAACACCTTTATAGACCTCATCTCTCATTAAGGCTGTTAGCTGGTTAAAGGCATGGCTGCCTTTGGGGTGCCCCTTTATCACGAATCTAAGGGCACCTTAGGTGCTCCTCTGAAATACCTAATTGGGGACAGCTGGTGGAGGGTATGGGGAGTGGAAGTTGAAAAGACTTGAAGGGCCAGGAGGTGGTGGTGCACGCCTTTAATCCAGCCCTCGGGAGGCGGAGGCAGGTGGATCTCTGTGAGTTCGAGGCCAGCCTGGTCTACAAGAGCTAGTTCCAGGACAGGCTCCAAAGCTACAGAGAAATCCTGTCTGGAAAAACCGAAAAAAGAAAAGAAAAGACTTGGAGGAAGCTGAGCATGTTACAGAGGATCTTCTCAGTGCAGAAAAGCTGAGAGGAACGTCTTTCGTGGGGTGGGGAGGGTCGACATAACCAGCTGAGAGCGGCGTCTCACGAGCCCCGTCTTGCCCACAGGAGCTGGAGAAGCAGTACTCGCCCAGCAGGTGGGTCGTCCGGATGAAAGCAGAGGATGTTGTCAACACCTTCGTGGAGACAGGAATCCAGGGTACTGCGGGACCCCTCTGCAGATACTGCTGGGGCAGGAGGAGGGGATAGAGCTGGAGGCAGAAGAGGCTTGGGTGAGACCAGGCTCTGTGAGAAACAGCCTCCTCTCCCTCCTGGCTGGCAAGGGCTTCCAGGCTCTAAAGCAGCGGTTCTCAACTTGTGGGTCATGAACAGGGTTTCCTAAGACCATCGGAAATATTGAATATTTATGTTATAGCTCATAATAGATGGTAGCAAGATGACAGTATGAAGTAGCGATGAAATAATTTCGTGGGAGTGTGTTAAAGGGTCGCAGCCCTCGGACGGCTGAGAGCTCCGCTCTACAAGGCCGGGTTATGCTTGGCACAGAAATGTGAGCTGAAAAAAGGGGGGAAAGCAGAATATTGTTGCTATTTTTAAAATTTTCTTTTTTTTTTTTCTTTTTGCTTTTGTTCTTCAAGACCAAGTTTCTCTGTGTAGCAGCCCTGACTGTCCTGGAACTCTCTCTATGGACCAGGCTGACCTCAAATTCAGCGATCCTCCTGCCTCGGCCTTCCAAGTGCCAAGATTAAAGGCATGCTCCACCACC